CTGAATAACTTTGAAACAACCTGTTTGAATTTATGTCTGGTTCATTATAATTTTTGTTGTATAATATATAAACTGTTTTTCAAAAGTCGGTACCGAAAGGACCCGACTTTTTGAAGTAAATGATTCCAAATATTTTTCATTTTGTTTGACATCGTTTTTTTGCTTATTTTTTTCCCTCTTATTTTTTAAAAAACAAACTTGACTGAACCTTGAATTTAGACCAAGCTAAAAAATTAAATAAAAAATAACAAGGAAAATATTAAATAACTTACTTCTTCAAAAATTTTGCTTGACCATATGGTTGTTTTTGCCGTGAGTAAAACCGACTTTTTCTCTTTTCAAAAGAAAATGTTAATGATCCAACAAATAATAAAAATCTTTCAATTTCATTAACACTTACAACACAAAGAAAAGATTATTGAAAATAAAAATAACCATTTAATATGTGTAGCGTTTCAAAGTTTGTTTTTTTTAAAGAGACAACCATAAAATAACAACAAGTTAGAACGATTTATTGTGTATTTTGAAGTGGGGGAGAGTCGTAATGTGAGAGGTAAAATACGGTTATCTCACCCATTCAAACTACTCGTCCATTACCAAAAGGCAAAAATGCCGATTTTTCGAGAATCTCAACAGTGAAAAAGACTGAATAACAGTCTCAGAAAATCGGACAAGTTTGTTCTAATTTTTTGTTAAAATCCCGAAATTTTAATTGAAATTTATAACTGTATTGGTTTTGAGGGTTAAAAAGTCGGTACTGTTTTTTCTTTTTTTCAAATGGAAATTATAAATGAAAACAACAAAAAAACTTTAAAAAACGGGAATTTATTATAAAAGGGTTTCCACTAATAATTGGTAAAGTACCGACTTTTGGCATACAGTTTATATTACTCAATGTTAAAAAACAATACGACAACTTAATAGTTGTATATCTAAAATTTTAAATTTTATATAAAATTTATATGAAATGTAAATCATTTCATATAAATTTTATTAAAAAGTAAAAAATCACAATTACAAATTTAACCCACTAAATTTTTTTTTCAATTACATTATCCCAAGAAAAAACTGAATATCATTTGGTGATGTGTGTTGTTGTTTTTTTTGTAAAAAATATTATATTTGTATTTAATTATAATAAACTAATAAAAAGTGAAGATTTTATAGAAACACCATTTGTATATAAAAATATACAATCGATTATTTATAATAAATTACAAAAAAAACAAACCAATTACTGACTCTAGCTTATGTTTATTATCAGTAGCAACAGCTTTATGTGTTGTTTTTGTATTTTTACATTTGTTAACTTAGTGCTTTTTGTTTATTATAAATAAACATAAATAATGAATAATATTTCTAAACTACTTTTGGTGTATATTAAAAACGTGGAGCTTGGTTAAAATGAGAATTTCAACGAAACATGAACACAGTGATGCTAATTAGCACATATTTAAATTAACATCAAATTAATAAATTTTCAAATTTAATAAAAACATAAACACTTTAATGTATAACATTTAATTATATATTTATTAAATAAATATAAACCTAAATCTATATATTTACTAAATATTAAATCAATATAATGCTTTATTTATCAAAATTTTTCAGTGAATACAAAATAATGATTTTAAAATTATTTTTTTATGTTTTATAATTTATTATTATTTTATATAAATTATATTTTATTTGAATCAAAACATAATTATGTGACATTATTAGATATCATACCCGGGTTTTACTCGGTTTAAATCAACTAAACTTGTTTAAATATGGTATTAAAATTTGTTAAAATTGGAAATTTTTCAATGGTTTTCTATATTTAGTAAATATATCAATTTATAAATGGAATCTACAAATAAAGTTTTGTTTGTTTTCATTTTTTCGATTTTATAATAAAAATATTATAATAAATACTATTTTAAATTAGACCAGACAACACCAAATACATTTGAAATCTTTTCTTTGTGTGTATTCAATCTATTTTTAAAATATATTCCAAAAATATTTTTGTTTTGTTTTTATTGTGTTGAATACATTCAATCACATACG